TGTCTACACTGTTGTAAACCCACAGAAACATGAAAACAGTGTGTGTTATGATCATATCCCAAATTAAAAAAAATTAAAAAGGTACAATAGTACTGTTATGTTGATAAAAATAACGACTAGTTTCAACTTTCAATGCATAAACTCCCTCGTTTATTTTCCGGAACCTACACAAACAACAGCGCACCTACGGTGGCCTCACAGTGTCAGAATGTGCAACGTAAAACAGGCATCCTGAATAGCAGAACTAGAACTGTATATATGTATACTGTATGTATTATGTGAACACAACATTTACCCCCCCCCCCCCTCCTCCCTCCTCCCTCCTCCCTCCTCCCTCCTCCCTCTTCCCTCCTCCCTCCGAATGTTCAAACGTGAAAGGTAGCAACAAAGTCTTCGAAGTGCGCAGGGCGCGTACGAACCCTGACAGGCCGGGGCTCAGAAACAAGGGGGGCCGGCAGCGGGGCTGAAGCAGGAGCGGTGCCCTGAGTGGCCGGAACAGCCTGGGCGAGAGGTGCCGCCATGGGATCCGCTGGGTTGCTCTGCTCCACCCCTGCCAGGTGAGGTTGGTGAAAAGGGGAGGGCACTCTGCACAGGCAGCTAGCGTGCCAATGGGAACCATCAGTCAGCTGAAATGAAGCTGGGCCGAGCTGCTGACTGACCTGGTACGGAGCCGACCAGAAGGATGACAGCTTGTTAGCTCTGTGGGGCCGGCGGGCCCTGACCCAGTCTGACAGTCTGATAGCAGGCCACTTAGCCTTGTGCTTCTCATCGAACCTCCGCTTCATGGAACTCTGTTGTCTCTTGACGTGAGCCTTTACTACTGCGGCCATTGGTGGACAGAGTCTTGACAGGGGAAGCACAAGCTCTCTTTTCAGCATGAGTGCAGCAGGGGAGACCCCTGTTGTAGAGTGGGCAGTTGCTCTGTAATGAAGGAGGGTCTGTGACAGTGCGGACATCAGGGAGTATCCCTCAGACATGTGAGCACGCAGTCATTTTTCTGGGATTGGTTGAATCGTTCCACCCCTCCGTTGGTGTAGAGGGGTTTTGGCTAATGTGCTGATCAGGTAATTGTGCTCGCCCCAGGGTGTCAATCAAAACACATCACAGGATTCAGAATCTTCTCATCTTTACTTGGTATTAGTGTGTATATGTATGTGTGTGTGGTCTGAAATAAACAAATGAATAACATTACAATAAGTAATTACAGTCTTCATACATAATAATAATATACATGTCATTCTACATCCAATACAATTATCAGGGTTTAGACTGCACTACCGAAATTAACCGCTAGATGTCGCATGAAGCGCCTATAATGAGGATCGCGAATTCTCCGTGTCTCTGAGAAAACACCGAGTCATCATATATTGGCATGGTCACGAAAATACGACGAATACTATTAACTTGACACTCATTAAAGTGTTAACATTGCACTAAGTAACCACAAACAAAGTATAGAGAAATAAATAACTTTTGTACCTTAAATAACTTGGTATCTGTTATATTTATGACGGTCCGACTATGACGTGAGGCTAGTATCGTTAAGGCAATAAACAGCTCGATAATTTACATCAACTAAAACAGTAATGTGGCAGATAACTATTACTAAAGCACAATTAAGTAAATAGACTTACATTTTATCATGAACGCACACACAGAAGATAAACACTGAAGGTTAAAATACAGGAAGATATGATGCCCGTTCTTCTCTTGACTCCACTTGCTAGCTATTCAGGAAGTTTCTAACTCGCCACCTAACATCATATCAGCGTCACCAATAAGTTCGTCGCTGATTGGTTAGATCTCCTTAACAGTTGGCTTGGGGGTGATAGACGGAGGTTCGGATATGGGTGACACCCTTGTTGGCAAGGAAGGTGGTGAACTCCAAGCATAGGAACTGAGGACCATTGTCCGTGGTAATTGCACAAGGCAAGCCCCAGCGGGAAAACAGCTGGTCGAAAAAGTTGACAGAGGTAACCGTACCCATGGGAGCCACCTCAGGCCACTTGGAGTGCAGGTCGTAGACCACCACGAGGAACCTCTGATGGTGTGGCACATTGTACAGCTCACCACAGATATCAAGCTGCAAGTGGTCCCATGGTGCAGACGGCCAGTCTACTGGCTGTAATGGAGTTGAAGTCTGATTGGCTCGGCTGCTGAGGCGGACTCCAGGTCGCGGAGGGAGACCGTGTCCTTCAGAGGGGAATGGACCAGGTGTACTACCTCCTCATCCTCTGGAGAGACAGCAGAGCACTGGATGGCGGCAGGGCGGGACAGAAAATCTGCTACAACATTAGTCTTGCCAGGCGTGAATTGTAACTGAAAGTCATATTGCTGCAGGCGGTCTGACCATCTGTAGAGGCGAAGGGGCCTGTGTCCTCCGCCCGAAGTGGACATCAGGGCTGTCAGGGCGTGGTGGTCCGTCCGTAGGGTAAAAGACTGTCCATACAGGTACAAATGCCACCTTTCACATGCCCAAATGCAGGCGAGGGCCTCCCTCTCACCCACTGAGTATTTCTGCTCGGTGGGGCTGAGCGCCCGGGAGGCGAAGGCTACGGGCCTCTCCGTGCCATCATGGAGCTGTGACAGAACGGTGCCCAGAGCCACAGCAGACGCATCACTGGTCACGAATGTGGGGCAGTCCAGCTGGAAGTGTGCCAGGATCGGAGACGTGGTGAGGAGACGCTTCAGTTCGTCAAACCCTGCCTGCCATTCAGAAGTCCAGGTCCAGGGAGCATCCTGCTTGAGCTGCATCCTCAGTGGGGCCGTGAGAGAGGAGTACTGTGGCAGGAAACCCATGCAGTAGGCTGTCATCCCCAAGAACGAAGCCAGCTGCGAGGCTGTTGTGGGGTTGGGGATGGGGCTGATGGCTGCCACATTCGACTGGAGAGGGGAGATGCCATCTGCCGATACATGGAACCCGACAAAATCAATGGCTGGTGCGGAGAACGTACACTTCTCCGTGTTCAAGGTGACATGATGGCGGCTGAGGGAGTCAAAGACCTGTTCCAGGCGGGCGTTGTGTGTGTCAACATCTGGCCCGTGTACCACAATGTCGTCCAAATAGGCCATGGTACCGGGACAGCTGGCGAGGATTGTGGACATGATATTCTGGAAACAGCTTGGCGCTGAACTGAGCCCAAAAGGCATCCTCGTATAGCGGTACAGGCCAGTATGGGTGATAAAAGCCGTCAGGTTCCGACTCTCCGGGTGCAGAGGAATTTGTAAGTAGCCCTGACGTAAGTCCAACTTAGAAAAGACCTGGGAGCCGTAGAAGTGGGTTGTCAGTTCTTCTGTCGTCGGAAGAGGGTACTTGTCAGGACTTGCCTTGTTGACCTGGCGAAGGTCGACGCAGACTCTCAGTCCACCTGACTTCTTCCTGGCGATGACGAGGTTGGACACCCACGGAGAGGCATCAATGGGTTCTATGATGTCATCAGCCTGGAGGCGTTGAAGCTCCTGTGTAACGCTGTCCCGCAGAACCAGGGGAACACGCCGAAGGGGCTGGACCACGGGAGGCACACTGTGGTCCAGGAGTGGTTTGTGTGTGAATGAGGTGAGACAACTTATTGGTCATACTACGCTTGCCTTCCAATGCTAAAGCCAAACATCGCAGTACTTGGTCATGGTGCCAAGTAAACCGACCTTGGCTAAGAGCCACCTTACATCCTGTCAAAATGTGCCTTAATGTGGAAGGTGATGAACACAAAGGACAAGAGGGATCCTCTCCTACCCAGAGGTTTAGGTTCTGCGGTGATGGGAGAACATCATATATGCTGTTGTGTAAAGAGGTCTGTGTTTGAGTCACACACACTCAAACACAGACCTCTTTACACAACAGCAGTGTTGTTCAATATAAAATGCTTAGCACAGTCTATCCTTTCCAAACGGTTGAAGACAATGCTGTAAGATCTGCTGACTCTTGAAAATCTCCCAACCTTTTAAAGCTGTTTGACCGTGCTGTGCATGCTGTGTTCCCAGCATGCATTGCGACATGCATAAATGATACAGGTAATGTTGAGGTTGAGGATTTGTTTCTCAACATAAAAAACAGCCAACAACAGTTTTGCAAGTTGGCTAAATAACAAATTACTGACGACATTTTGAGATTTAAAAAAAAAAAAAAAAACTATTCATGTTGCCTTGATTTTTATTATTGCAGTGCAAAATAAAATATTTCAGTATTTTGATGCATTTCTTTGGCCAGAAGATTCCATAATAATATTATGCATTAGTTAACACGTTCCATAAAACATAGCTTCATGTTATTTGTTGCCCTGTTTTGTACTAGATTAATACAGCATGTCTTTATTAAAGACATCACGCATCAGTGTTTGAGGTTTGCTATGCATCCATGAGTGATAGAGCTTATAGTTATAGCTGAGCTTATTTGTTATTAAATGACAAGATGCAAAATGTCTTCAAATAATTCAAAATGTAGTCTATTTTCAACTTCACCTTTCATTCTAAAATGCATCGACCTGTTTTCCAGATGTATAAAGGACAATCTTCAATGATTTGGCGACATCTTGAGGTGATGAAACAGCATCGGTCAACACATTTACATAATTGCACCAGTTAATATAAAGTCGTAAGAAAAGGCTGTGGGATTTGAGGAAGTGTCCTAAAATCCTAAATTTAATAAAAAAATATACTGAGATCATTGCATTAAACAGATTCACCGACTGCATGCCAGAGGCATAAAACATTTTAATTGCTTCCAAAAAACACACGTTTTCACAAGCTGTTTCTGCACAATATTCGCTGCTTAGCGCTTTTTTTTTAGCACATGGCGCTTTTGAGCGCGTCTCTCAGTGGCAGCGGGGGTCTGTAGAGTTGAAGAAGACGCCACCGGAAGCTTTTGTTGTTGAAAACTCTCACCAGAGACCGAAAGTTCATCCATGTGCTGCTGCAGATTGATCTTCAGTTGTTCGTTCTCCTGTAACAGAAGCCCTTTCTCTCGCTTCAGACACAAAATGTCAAGCTGAACCTTGTTGAAACGTTGCCAAAACTTCCCAAGAGGAGAATAGTCATGTATTAGCTGTGGACAGAGGATAGGACAAGGGGAGAAAAGTCAAAAGACAACACAAATGATATACTGAATTTAACAGATGACTAGAATAATGCAAAAGAAATGCTAGTACACATCAAATTAAAGTAATGAATCTGCATGAAATATCTGAAATTACTTCCCCCAAATCGACATATATCGGAGTGAAACAGGATATCCATTGAGAAAATAAAGATCTGGAATTAACTGGATTGTAAAAAGCGGCCACTCCATGTGAAAATGATGGCAGATTTAAAAGCAAGTTTACAGTGGTTTGTGGGATTGTGATGGAGTGTGATTTGAATAAACCTGAGGGAGTTTCTCATTCGTCGACTTCATGGCATTGGCTTTCTCCTGACTCAGCTCTTCTTCACTCAATGATGATTTGTAGAAGGGCAGAACCTTCTCGTGCTCCGTCTCCATCTTTCTGCACAGCTCAGAGCGACGCATCAACCTTTCCCCCTATGGAAGAGACAGAGTGGGCGACTGACTGGATGTTGCTGAGAGTATTGCTAAAATGAATTCACTTAGTTCCAGAATGACATAATCTCTACTTCCAAAAAATATACAAAACGCATCCCTGTTGCCAGAAAATAAAAAAATAAAAAATTCCTGGTCTACTAATGATACAAGACACAGTTTCTCCTGTTTCAGCTTGACTGAGATATTAACTAATAAAGATGTATCTAAACTAAATAAAGTTGTATGTTTTATTATGCATAAAATGCTTAAATGTAAATGTATCATTAAAGGGCATTCTGTGTTCTGATATGGTTTTGCATGTAGCATGAAATTATGATGTTTCTGATATGTCCATGATTCTCATTTTCAGCATGTAAAACATATATAAATATAATAGATTTCAAATGTTGGTCATTAAAGTAATTGGCCAGAGGGTGAAAATACTGTATAAAGCAATCCCAAATTGCATCTCACCAAGTTCCAACATCCTTGTTGATCCTGGAACAACATTCCAATCAACCAATCAGATTCAAGGGCTAGGCTTACAGTTAATGTCCAGTTTAGGCTTATAACAATGGTTAGGGGTTTCTACCCCAGACAGCAACATAGTGTCGGCCCAGACCTGGCCCAAATCCGGTACGAGTTAAACCCACAAGTACCAGATGTGGCCCGGATCTGGGCAGACACTATGTTGCTGTCTGGGAACATCATTCTTATTCCCCTGTCATTTCCCTCTGATTTGAGAAGTTATGGTTAGGGTTAGGGTTAGGTTTAGAGGTACGAATAGTTGTTAGGGCAATGATTTTGGGCAGAAATGTTGTTGCAAGATCAACTAAATATAACTATTACTTGAAGGCATAAAGCACTTATTTGGAAAATTGTATAAAAAAAAAAATATTAAAAAAAATTAGCGTATACATTAAATGTGGGTGTAATAAATGTACCAAAGCGTTTGTCTCCTGTAGTTTTTTAGCAGCATTGTTGCTTTGAATGGTAAGTTTAGTGAGCTGCTTTCTCCGAGTGGTTCGGTCCGCAGCGAGCTGGACTCTGCGATGTTGAAGTTCCTGGGCGAGCTTGTCACGGTCTGAACGAAGCTGCTGATTTGTTCCTTCGCTTTGACTAGAGCTCAGCTGACAGCGCTGAGCTGTGATGGCCTCCTGCAAAAGTTTTGTACAGTTTATATTTCAATTAAATCATCAAAATTATGAAATATCACAATTGGAAGGAAAGTGCTTGTCCAAAGTAGTCAGAAAAAAAAACTAATTTTGTCTGACCTGCAACTCCTGAATCTGCTTTTTATGTGCGTCAATCTCTTTTTCACTCTGTTTATTCTTGAGATCCAGAGACTCATATGCTTTAGACATGGTTTCGATGGACTCTTTGTGTTTGTGTAAATCCTTCAGCTCTCGCCACAGTTTATCCACTTCTCCTTTCTTCTCGGCTGTTTTAGACATGTTTGCTGACTGTGGATCACAGATTCAAAAGTCCTCAAAAGAGAAGATGTATTTTATTACACAAAATCAGAACTGGCTTGTCAATACAGACAGACAGACAAACAGACAGACATACAGAAAGATAGATAACGTTAGACAGATAGATAGATAGATAGATAGATAGATAGATAGATAGATAGATAGATAGATAGATAGATAGATAGATAGATAGATAGATAGATAGATAGATAGATAGATAGATAGATAAGAAGTTACACTTAGCTTCCTCCTGGTAAAAAAATAAGCCTTAAAATTTAATCTTTTTCCCCCAGGAAAACCAATCAAATATATTCTTGTTCGATAATATTTTTTTTATTATTATTTAGAATTTTTAAAGATTTTTATGATACTTTATATTAATTATATATTTTTATTAGCTATTTAATTTTTCCATTAGAATTAATATAATATTTTTTTTTTATTATATATATATATATAATAAAAAAAATCAATAAATGCAACATTTCACATCAAAATAGAGTGCAGGCAAAAAAAAAAAATCAAGTGAGCAGAGCGCCATCCAGTGGCTTTAAAAATATATAAAAGTGTGAAATGTCCTGTAACGCCTCGAGGCTGCCTATATAAATAGAAAGGCTTTTTGATTCCTATTGTTGTTTTAGACATGATTTCTCTTATTCGTTTTTTTCTATTTAGATATATATTTAGATATTCTAAAAGACTTTTTAAAAATAATGTGTTTTTTTTTTTTAGATAATTGCTATCAGGTTTTGCATTATGATTACAATCAAACAATAACATTTGGTTAGAAAGGGATCACAATGCAAAGATTTTTGTTACTCAGTATTTGATAAAGCTGTACACTTTTTTTCTGCACAGTGGCTGATCTGTAGTTTGTACCACCAAAAGTTTCTCTGAGTTTTCCTATTTTTTTCGTATTTCCCATTCATTTCCTATGGTCGGTCTTTTTGAGCGGGAGGAAGCTAACGTTAAGTGTGACTATTTTTTACGACCCTTTAACATATCCGAATCATCTCCTTGATTATTTTGTGTGTTCACATACATAGGTAGGCCTAATCTACAGCAAAAGTCACCAAGTTTCATCCCCCTCCGATGAAGCAAAAAAATTAAACATTTCAAAACGTAACAGTTTTCGGTCATTTTTGACCGAAGAAGCCCAGAGGGTTCAACTTTTTCCGTGCAGTAAGCTGTAGAAATTGAAAAAGATACACAAAACGGTAAAAATAATAATATTTTAGCGCTACTAGCATTATAATTTATTTCCCATCGTCTTACCTTGTGATGTCCCCCTGGTTGAACCGTTTCCTAGCAACCACCAACATATGTCCAGCGGTGCGCGTGTATCTTTCAAATCACTAAAATACAGTTGATGTCGTTCTTCTGACCACTGATCTATACATACATGACGTCACAACATACGTGGGCTTTTGCCGATCCGACGCCATTTCTGTGCGCATGTTGTGGGCAGAATAAAGAAGAAGCTGAAACGAGTTAATTTCGTGATAAAAAGGGGAAATGGTCATCTCCTGCTGGGTCAATGGATGTTCAAATCGTGCCGAGGATTAATTTAAATTTGGTTTTACAGTATACCCGTATTTAAATTAGACTTTATGAATATGAGAAGACTAAGCTTTTGTCAGAACAACGACGGAGGTTATGGCTGGCGAGGATAAACAAGTTAACACTTTGCAGTTTGAATGATGTCCTGTATGAATATAATGACGAGGTATTAAAAACAACATTGTTACTGTTCCATCGCGCCCGCGCCTCTCTCTCTCTCTCTCTCTCTCTCTCTCTCTCTCTCTCTCTCTCTCTCTCTCTCTCTCTCTCTCTCTCTCTCTCTCACACACACACACAAAATTCCATCATTGCAATCTCAGATTATGTCCCTAAAGAACCCGCGTATAAAGTAGTTCCGCATTACATTAATTAATTTGCACGCGAGTTTTATTTATTTTTATACCGTGTATATTCATGCACTGAACCGTGTCGCCCGTACAGTTTCGGTTCAATACGAATACATGTACCGTTCAACCCTATTCTACACTATATAAATAAGTAAATGCATATTACAGAAAGCACCGATGACTGTTTTAAGGGAACAGGAATTAAGTTGTGCAGGCTATGGCTTTTTAATAGACAGATAGTCTAGCATCATGCTACAATCTCTAATGTGTAATATCAAAATAAAAGCCCTCTAACAACAAAAGCTGTTTTGTCGATCAAATCAGATTGGTAGAAAAAGAAAACTCCCCATTCCCTGCACTGACCAATTTCACTCCAGATTGATGTACATACCCCTCCTCGGAGTCAGAGATGGGCACAAATACATCAAAAAGTATTTTGTTACAAATTACAAATACTTGATCATCAAATGTATCAAAATAAAATACAAAACACATGTCTCACACCAGTGGGCCATCAGGTAAAATGGCCCATTTAGGTTTGAGTGTCTTATCTCTTTAAAGGTTAACAGCCAGTGACTGCAAATAATTTCAAACTAAAAGCAGTACTTGACATTTAATAATGGGCTCTATGCACGGGGGTATTTCCGGTGAAGGTCTAAGGATGCTGGATTACTTCCGCCGATCGTAGAGTCCAATGCTATACCGAGAATTTATATTGGCTTTTATACTCTATTGCTATACTAAAGAAAAGTTAGTCACCAAAACAGACACCCCTCATTTTGTCTATGCTTCTGTGTTTATTATATTAAATAAACATAACTATATATAAAATTACATCTAAACGTATTAAAGTTTCGTTTCAAAGACGAGAGGACAGTAAATTTTGAAGACTCTGCCATAATCCCGTTTTCCTCGGTTTTCCTCCGCTTTAAATCTCCCCAACCGGAAACGCAAGAGCATCCTTGCGTCAAACGCGGAAGTTATGCGTGCATATAGCCTTGGTCTGAGGTTGCTAAGGGGGATTGGGGTATGGAAGCAGAATAGTCTCAATTATAAATCACGCGGGAAACATCATTCACACATGCGTAGACAATTTCACATGCATGAAACCTAATTCACGTACACACAAAAAAAAATTCACGTGCGTGAAAAAAAATTATATTCACAAAAAGTAATTCACATGCGCAAAATAAAATTATATATTCATAAAATACATTTCACAAATGCAAAACACAATTAGTATACAACTGTGCACAAAAACCTTTGAATGTTTAAAATGTACGAGTTTATCCTTGAATGTGAATGTGCAAATCGTCATTCACATACGAATCGCCTTGGGTGTGTGTGTGTGTGTGTGTGTGTGTTTGAGACTCTTCTAGAAGCGCTCTCCTCCTACACAGAGCACTCATACTCTTTAGCCAATCAGATTTAAGCTTATCAATCGACCTATCAGTGTATCATGTGAGGGCGGGCCTACCTGCATGTTACGTCATCAGCTTTTACTTTGTTATAGAAGTTACCAGTGTGATTACTGAAATGTTCTTTTCATGTATTCTTGAATGTCTGTATTTGATATCTGAATGCAGTAACAGTGCCTAACTTCAGGGTCTGAGTGTCAGCTGCATAATCGATGGAGATATTCTTCTGTCTATCTGTATATGTGTGGAAAATTACTGTGTTTATCTATTTATTAGCCAATCAGAATCATTCAACTGTAAGCAATGACGTAGCTTAGACCTTGGAAATGGTATAACTGCTGTGATCTTTGTAACTGTAAGCGGGGCGGCCTACGAACTCCTGTGTGAGTCTTGAAGCTGACTTCTGCTGATGAAAATGCAAACTATCTTCAGTAAAACTTTTCTTTAATTTTTTTATAATCCTGACTCCGGGTCTTCATTCTTCATATCTGGTTCTGGGTCTTTAACTGTACACCCCTTACACGGACAAACAGTCAACATTCGAGGACAGGCGCTATGGCAGCTGTCACAGTAGGAGACATTTCACAGGAGGCAATTGATGATTTTTGGAGACAGAAAGATTATATATCATCTCAAAGTCACCAAAAGGGCCTTAACTATTCATTGGAGGGTTATATTAATCATTTTATTGTTGAGAAGGTTGATGAAAAGCTTCAGCTCCAGGCAAAAATGTACAGGTCACAGTATAAATGTGATAAACCACATCTCGTTGCCATCACCATCTCAGACAACAAGATCGAGGATCAGCATTGTTCATGCACTGCAGTATTTACATGAATCTTTCAGCACAACATTGCTAACATTTGTTATCTCGGTTATTTAAAGATACGTTAACGAGTTCGTTTGCCCATAAAATCTTTTAGGTTAAACTTATTTGGCTTGCTGTCCGCTGGAGAGGGGCTCGATGAAGCAGCTTCAACTCGAGCTCTGATATACCCCCCAGAAGTGTTGAATAAATATTTGGGACAGCAAGTTAGAATAACGTGATCAAATACAGGATGCCTAATAGCTTAAAGTATGTTACCCCCCAAAAAGAGTGGAAATTGAAAGCTGTATGGAGCATGGATGGACGCTGCTGCGGCAGTGATATGTTTAATGGGGCTCCCGGCTGGAACTGCGTCTCCCTACTATGCCCACCATGTGGGGCTATGAGTGGAGCTCCGGCGGGAGCTGTGTTTGAAAGAG